CAACTGAACATTGGCCACCGATCGATGCAGTCCAGAGCCTACAAGTGGAAGACTTCGACATTGACATTCCTTTCGACAATCTAGAGGAAGCAAATGACAATGGTAGCCGGAACAATACAAAACCCGCGATCGACAGCAACCTACCAGGCGAAACTCAAGCTACAGTCACCGCCCTTGTGCCCCCAAACCACGTTATACCGAGGGAACCACCTGGCTTCGTTCTCGGCCTCACACAACAAACAATATCGCGCTATGAACTCCAACCACAAGAGTCAGACCTGCGCGGTGCTCTTAGTAAACACCTCACGGGTGATAAATTAAATTCAGACGGCAACATTTTCGATCGGGTGGATGGTGGAATGGTGCGTGCCAACATAAAAGGATCAAGTACGACAATTGAATGAAGAAAATTCTCGGGCCCGTTACACATGTTACAAACAGCACCATATTATGCAGTGAAGAAAAGTTGTGTATGGAAGCTGGCAATTAATCCATCAAATATTGCACTCTGTGGAATGATTTAATAAAGTTAAACAAAAGTTGTTTTTTCCCTCGAACAGGCCACAAACGAGCTGGTATGTGTGAGCACGCAGGCCACGGGGCTTCTTTGCCCGATTGCCTTCCTGGCGATTCAACGCACAGAAAGTGGCCACGGACTTGACTGGGAACGCACCTGATTAATAGCGAGGTTGCTTCCCTTTCTCTTGACACTCCTTTCGGCTCTCATAGTAAACATTACAATTTCGGTTGACTTTTCAGGACAAGAACCTCTTTACCAGAACAGGAAGAGCTGCCTGTATTTCTGAACGGATCTTTTTACATGATTAAACTTTTAATTTATGCTTCAACATTTTCTAGCTTGTGGAAATTGGTATGTGCGAAACAGGTTAATGATTTATTGCTCTCTTCGATCGATTTCCACACAGGTGACTGTCCATGGAAACATTATTGTCAATATTCTCGACATCTTCCCCTGAACAACCTCCACACATGATGAAGCCGTGAATGAGAAAAGGCCTGTAAATATAGCAAAATGACCAGCTTGACCTGTAATGTTATGCTGGAAATGTCCGCCACATCGCTGAACTATTATCTCGAATGCTATCTGGGAAGCTAATATATCACTAGGCAAAATGTTTAACCACTGTTGTTGGACACATTTGAGAAATTTATCACAATTCGGCATACCAGAACTATTGAGCATTTTTATTTGCTTCCTCAGCAAAGCAATTAATGAAAATAGATTCACAAGAAATTACAGTGGCCAATAACCACATAAATATCAAAGCAGAGAAATATGCAGCTTATGCATGGTCAACGTATGTGAACTTTCCTAACAGAAGATAAAAAGCAGACCTCCCTCAAATAATATGTGAGTAATTTTGGAAAATGCGCTGGAGATGCATCACCCTACACATGTGCTATGTCCGATATGGCTGAGCAGGGTAATTCTTCCCAATTGAATTCGCTTACCATTAAATGGTTTTTACAAAGCACTTATATGGCTGTCGCAAATGTATAGGGTTCAAAAATCAAAGGATACTGTCTCCTAGAGAGCTTTAACCACAGTCTTCCAATATGGCGTGGAGCACATGAGTTGTCAAATTAGCATAGCTAGTATAAAATGTATCTCCTTGCACATCAAGCGTCTTCAAGATGGAAAGCAATAGTGTAGGTAATAGCTACAGGGCCATAACTATAACAATGCCTTTTAATAGGGCCGCTTACAAGGGCCTACTAAAAGGGCTGCAGTATGTTTTAAATTACAAATAATCAACAGTGTAATAGAGACCCAGTCATAGCTGAGGAACTGAATGTTCTTTGTGGCTGATGTACAGTTTTGAAACCTTTATAGCTTTGTCCTAGTCCTTCACAACTTCAACTCAAAGCAGAAAGTACAATCAGAACTTGACTGCTAAATATCCAACTAAAATTGAACAATGACACTTGTGTGAACAGCTGTCACCGTGTGAGCTACAGGAGCAAAGATTGATGTTTGGTCGAGGAATGAGACCATTATCCCGGATGTTGTAGGATAATAGGCCATAATTATAACCATGTTGAATGATGCCGGTTTTAAAATTAGTACACTAGACTCTCACTAATGTAAACTCCAGAAAGCCACAAATTTTGTTTGAATATATCAAACATTCATCTAAATATGATGCAAGATAAAATTATTATTTGTAATATGAATGGCTACACATAGAAAACAGGTACTTAATGATTTCCTCTACGTAGGCCTACTGATCACATTTTTAATTGTGATCAGTAGGCCATTCATAGCAGACGATCACGATGCAAAAACAAATCGGGCGTCGACATCGCAAACCCTCTCTCTAATGCAAACCCCTAAAATAACTTTGGATCAAGAAATTAAATTAGTTATAATTAATTATATATGTTGATCATAAGTCATTTAGGTGTTTGCATTAGAGAGAGGGACCTAAAATGACTTTGGATCATAAATGAAATTAATTATTATGAATTCCATTGGTTCTTTCAAAGTAATTTTAGGTGTTTGCATTAGAGAGAGGGTTTGCGATGTCGACACCTGATTCATTTTTCCATTCGGTCGTGATCGTCTGCTAATATAACTAAAATTTAACAAGTAATGTATTAATATTACACAACGATTGCCACAACAAAATGTAAAGAGTATAAATATACTTTTTATCATATTCCATACAAGTAAAAGTATGATCTCTTTTATTTCGGTTTTACTACTTTCTCAGACGTTTGACTTGCTGCCTTGCCTGTAGGATTTCGCTCAATCAATGTATCCACAGTTGCTAGTCTTTTTTTTGTTTTTGTTAGTTTCTTTTAATTTGTCATAACTGCAGTTTTTATTAGTCCTAAATAGGCGTCTCTTGTTTTTGAAAGGAAGCGTAGCAAGAGCGTTATTTAAAAACAGATAAAATGTTGCTGAGGAAAGGATGCTTGTTTCGGCTTCGTTTGTGTGAAAGCCATACTGATGCTGTTACCTTGGTTTCCTTTTAATGAAAATTATGAAATGATTGAATTAGCGCATTAACTTGCGTTGATCTTTTTTTTCTTCCCAGTGTTTCGATTGAACAGGTGGGACTAACAGTAAAAACCGTGTAAGGCGCAGTATTGCAAGTGGATGATTTCCTAAAAAAAGATCACAGTTAAAAAGTAAGACACGCGCAAAATAAAAAAAAAAGTAAAGAAGATGTACCTGGCGCGATTTGAACCAGGAACTTTCACGCCGCGACGACAAGTACCGGCGCTTTAACCTCTCGACCATAGCAAAAGACACAAGGCGCCTGCGCCGGCGGAGGTATATAAATTTACTGCTACCGCTTTTACTTCGTGTGGCTTTTTCTTTATTTTGCTTCCTATTTACCCTCCCTGGCCGTAACTTTACCTGCCGCTCCTACAGTATAAAGGGGCGGTCAATTGGACTCCAGTCGCAAGTCCCTGCAATCAGTATTTGCGAGCGATATTAGGCTTTTGTGCTTGAAGCGATGCGGGTCTCTCCGCCATTAGGCAGGGACGCTAGGTACTTCCTTGTCCCCATGGAGCTGGTCACGTGACGTAAAAATCCCTCTTGGCCGCGGCCGCAGCCGCAGCCGCAAGATGAGCAAACCGGCCCAGGTCGAAACGGGCAGGCGTGGGGATTGAGCTCAGGATTCCTATGTTTTACAGCGCGAGCGTTCGCTCCACGTGCTCCGAGCTGGTGTGCTCCAGCCCATTCGGCCACCGATCCTTTTTTTATTTTATTGCACTCGGCCACCGATCCCCCTTTATCTGTCTGTACTAAAACCCTTCGATGTGTTTTCGTTTGTCTTGCAAGTAGCGTCACATACGCCAGTGCACGAGGCGTTCACGTTCATGTTCAAATATATATCGCAAGTTTGAGGGAGACTGTATAGAATTGCAGAGGAATATTGGTGCAGTAAATGTATGGTGCTCAAATAACGGCCCAAGCTGAATTCGAGAAAGACTAACATCATCCAATTTAGTCTAAAACAGAGTGCATACATGTCCTTCCACGCTCGACATATCCGAAGAAATCAAAAAGTTAGTCATATGTGATCCTGACATGTTATCAGACTCCGCACTTCGGATGAACTTGCACAATGATGCTATGCTCGCTTCATCAACGAGGATGCTTGCCATGGTTTCTAGAGCTACCTGAGAGTTTAAAATAACGTCATCTGCGCTCGAGTTGTATGCTATGTCCGCTCCAGTCTGGACTTTGTATCTACTGCCTAGATTTTGAGTTAATTCTTTAAAATCTAGTCAAGTTTAAAACATCCAGAGAAGTTACATTAGTTTTATATATGGCCGATACCTCGGAAAGAAATGTTAGCGTAACCATAACTGGCTATTATGTCAACTGGGTACGGACACACTGTCGGAAGAAGAAGACCTTCATGGTGTGTTATTTTTGCACATTCTTTTAAATGTCAAAGTGTCATGCCCAAGGCAAGATCTCGTCGTAAGCTTTTGTGTGCCTCATTATTACGGTGAGTAAAACTCTCCATTGTTGGTAAGTGCTTCAAGCTCTCGCCCATCGCCTGAATGAAACTCATTTTATAGTGTTTCACTGACTGTGACTGATATGTTTATGACCTTGAATAATTTAAGAAAACTTAATGATGTTGAAGCTGTCATAAAATGTGTGGAAGTTCAATTTGTTCATTATCTTTATGTGCGTAGTGTTAGAATGTTGAATGTGTTTCTCTAGCCGTGTTGTAATGTATGTACTGCGACAGACAATATCAGCTGACACAGTCCTTCACACTTCTTTGGCATGCCTGCCTGTTTTTGACAGAGCTATGGTGCAAACCAGGAATTGAATGCAAAGTGGAGGTCTTACACTTCAAACTATTTGACAAAACTGGAGATAATAGAGCTTGTCGGGAGTGCATACGCAGAAAATCCCAGGTCGGATGTTTCAGCTCATACTGCCCACAGTGCTACCACCAGAAAGGCATGTTGTTGCTTGTGGAATGGTGACCAAACAAGCTGTGCTAGAGGCTACAGTGTCCTGAGAACACTTCGTGTTTTACCCGTGGCAACCAAGGAGGCGGTTCTTGTGGCTCAGGCCCACCGTTGTTTGACTCGCCCTTTACGTCGTCTCCTTCTTCGGCTTCAGGTTCCAACTCCCCAGCAGCAATGCAAACGTTGTGCAGAATTGCACAGGCTGCAATGATGGTGGCAGCGGTCTGCGGTGGGCGGTACAGGGTCCGGTGCTTGTAGAGGGAACGGAACCTGTTCTTCAACAGGCCGATGCAGCGCTCCACCGCAGACCGCACGGAGGAGTGGGCCCCATTGAGTCTCGCTTCCCGAGAGTTCGGCTGGAGCGTGCCGGAGACTGGCGTAATCAGCCATGGGGCAAGGCCATAGCCACTGTCTCCTGCATGCACAACAAGCACGCATGACATCAGACACCAAAATAAATGAAGCGTGGTCAGATGAACCTTGGCCACCACTCCAAAGTGCATATATCAGACGTGGCCAAACTGCGGCTCATCGCGGGTTCAAGTGCGGCTCTCGGCTTTCGGGTGAGCGTGCCCCCTTCCACTCCTGTGTTCCAAAGACGAATATAGTTTTAGAATTTAAGAAAGAGCTCACAGACTTGACAGCCTTGTACTACACCACGTATATACAGCCGGAGTGCTCTTTGACACGTTGATATGTCCAGTGACACTTTTTGCCTTATTATTCCAGAAAGAATTTCGAAGCCTATACCCATAACGGGCGTCAGGGGCAGTGGCTGGCTAGCGAACCAGCCGAAGCATTCCTTTCTGCTGAGCGGTTAAAGTAACTTTCTGCTGGTTGTTGTTATTTGTTGTAGTCAACAATTATACTTCTCCCCTTTGGAAAGCAGTGCTCCCTCCATATCGTTTTTTTTTAAGTGGCCTCCCCTCCCTTTTTTTCTTTTCCTGCGGCTCTTTGAACTTTTGCTGTTTTGTCTGCGGCTCTAACCCCATGTCACTCTGGTTACCCCTGACATATATTCTCGAGAGAACACACATCTTGCAGGCAGGGATGAGGAACAGACCAATCTTCACAATGTTTCCTTCTTCGCCCGCAGATCCAGATACCTCCATCAACCTGAACCATACATGAACCATGCTAACGCTTGCGTAAACTGGAGCAATCCATTTATGGGACAAATATTATTTTGCAATGTTAAGGAAACTCTTTACCTCAATTTTATGGCATATAACATCGTGAATGTTCTTCTCACCGGGCATATGGGAGCTGACCGCGTTGATTTCTGAAAGACTCCTAGCAGATAATAAATTTCCAACCTTTTCGACAAAATTATGTTATCTACACAGCCACTTGGAATGTTATGTTTTGCCTGTTTATCTCCCATTTTACAAGATAAAATTTTTTTTTTCAGTTTGCCTTGTAAAAATTTGGAAAACAATGAATGGCATTGTTTTGGGCAATAGGTCATTTACTTCGATAATTAGAAATATGAAGAGTCGTACAGATGTGTAAGGTACAGTTTGGTCACTATTTGTCCACATACATCCTTGTTGGTTGATTTGGTAATTATTGCATAAGACCGAAGACCCAAATGACAAACAGTGCCACGGCCTCACCATTCACCCCACTGTCATGTTCAGTTGCGAAACGTTACCTTATTTTCCTACTCAGCGGGAATTCACTAGGCTGAAGGAGGCCGCTTTCCATTGCCCTTCGAAGGGATGACCGCTTCCAGACAGCTGTCATGGGCCCCACCAGGCATGCTGGGTCTATGTAGATTATGCGGGCCTTGGAGTCGCACACCTCCAGAAGACAGCAACACAAGTTTTTCCGCATCATTCACGTGCAATTCCAACACACTGCTGTAATATTAAATAATCAGAAAACCATGGCAAAGCCTTTAAATATGGTTAATTTTTTTGTTTTTTGTCCGTTCTTCTGCATCGTACAGGGGGCTCTTTCAACACCTTGTGAGCAACACGGGAATGTTCGCTAATTCGTGGCGAAGGCCTGTGTGCATATTTAACGTGCTTGTTGAAGAACGAATAATCTCTGATAAATTTCCTAATTTTCTGCTCGTTTGACTTCTTTGTCTGTGTGCGTGCGTGCGTGCGTGCGCGCGTGGGAGAAGTTTTATAGACATTGAAGGTCTTTTTACTCCATTCCCTCGTAAAGCCATGTTTTTCTTGGTACGTGTATGTATTGCGAAAAACGGCGCAATAGGCTTCCGGAACGCTAGTGGCGTGTGTACTTACAGGCTCTTGGAGCTGCCGAAGTTTTATTTGGTGTCAAGATTTATCATTTCTCATATATGACGGCAAGTTTTATTTGCAGAAGGAAGAGTTTGCAAACGGCAAACGAGTGTTCCAAAAGGCGTCTAGGGCGCATCGGAACTCAAGGAACGCGTAAAACAAAGGGCAAAAAAGAAAAACTCGCAAGGAACGCGCGATTACATGGCAGCCAAGCACGTGCCGTCACTGACCTAGGTCGGGGGAAACAAAAGGGCGTGGGCGCGTTTGGGGAGGAAAGAAAGGCGGCCATCTTTGACGATCTGGATGAGGAGTGGGATTGTAAGGTGCTTCGTTACGTAGATGATTTCTTCGTTTTGTTTTAGTAAATCTGAGATTATGTCTGATGCAAGCGTCCACAAGTCCGTTTTAGAACTATTTAAAAAAAAATCGGAAGGGCGCACGTTTACTAACAAACTTCAGAGTGAAGATTTTCTAATTTTTTTTTTATTTTATTTTAAATTTGAATTGATTGCTAGACACGTCTGCATGGTCTTATCACCCAAGTTCGAGGAAGGGTCACCTCCCATTTCATTCGTCGCACTCCAATGTCGTCAAAAAAAGTGTAGCTTCTTCTTGCTTAAAGGTCACTCTCGAGAATATGTGTCACCAAGTGGATAACGATAGTCTTGGGCCGGCAGGTAGAACGGCCTGACCGCGGTGGATTTCCCAACATCTATTTTACTGAGTGTTGCGGAGGCCTTTTTAAGGAAGCTATAGGGAGGACCTCGACCACGGAAAAAAAGAAAACGAGCAGAAGACCGCTTTGCATTCCGTACCTACACAAGATTTAACACCCCTTGAAAAACGTTGTGCTGAGGTACGATGTTCAGTTGGTGTTTTCTGCCCCCTGCAAGTTGGTTCAACTGTGCCTGAAAGTTGCGAATAAAAAAGGTAGTGGCCCAACTTGCTCGGTAGAGCACGAAACTTAATATGATGACTGCAAGGTGGGAATTGTTTTACAAAATTCCACTGTCATGTAAAAAAGCCAATATTGGCCAGATGGGCAGATCTGTCCGTTTTTGCGCAGCGTTTGTCACAAGCCTATCAAGCCATTCTACGTTTCATAACGATATCCTTCATGGCACCAAGCACGAAGCCGCTAGTCAAATTTTGAATATCCACGATTACATTCAGCATCAGTTGTTTCAAGCTCCTATTTTTGTATCGCTTGCTTTCGTGCAGGACTTAAAGATATTTCTAACGAAGAAAAGACGAATTTGCCAAAACGCAAAATTATCTTGGCACATTGATACTTTAGACTCATGTCGTTGTAAAAAAAACTATCTCCAAACTCCGGTCTAAAAACATGCTTTTCGTGCAAGGCTCGTCAAATTATGAGGCGCTGGAGAAATGCAGCCTTCTGCGTTAAGTCCTTATTTCGAACTCTTTTTGTTCGCCTTCCGCCCATTGAAAAGCATGCTGGAAGGGCCTTAGAACGCACCTGGTATCGCTGCGCCGCAGCGTTTTTCCGCATCAAAAAGTTCGTCTGCTTTCCTCGTCGTCACCATGGCAACGAACACCGAATGAATAGAAGCACGCACGGTACCGCCGCGTGAAGCTAGCAACAGCTGACGCCATTTTACGAACGCCGTCTGCTAGCCAAAGCCGAACGCGGTGTGTCAGATCAACCGCCTCCGCCGGTGCGCCGCTAGCAAAGACGACGAAGCTGAGACACGCCGACGGCGATCAAGCAAGCAACAACACCGCGGGACGACTGCAACAGCGGCATTTATTCGGATCAAAGGCCGCCTTCGCCGGTGCGGTGCTAGCAAAGACGACGAAGCTGAGGCACGCCGACGGCGAATGGGCGAGCAACAGCACCGCGGGACGACCGCAACTGCGGCATTTATTCGGATCAAAGGCGCGAAATAAGCAAGAACAATTTTTATTTGAATCATAATACCCGATATCCAAGTTGGGGACCACATACCTTTGCTGGGTCTTTCCTGTGAACTTTTTACAGAGACACGGGGTGCCGCATTCAAAACACAGCTCTGTTTGCAAAATATGGGGGCCCTGAAAAGAACCGTTTAGACTGCTACCAGAACCTATAACTGACGTAACGAGCACTTGACGAGCGGTTGGCGCATAAGTCGTCTTTATGCATGCAGGCAGGTGACGGGCTCAGCGCAGCGGATCACTCGAAGTCACCGGGGCCGTCAGAATCCTCGCCCTGTCTGCGTCGGGGCTCTAGATATTGGCGGCCGCGGCGACGAACGACTGGAATCTATCAGTGTTTCCGCGCGCCTTGTCTCTCCTCCAAAATATGAACTTTGCAAGGTGACCAGTGAAATGGTGGCTCTCGCGCCGTCCAGATGGAAGAGAGTATTTGATGTGGGCCCAGGTGCAATCCACCGTATTGGTGTGCGCACCAGTGTTCGCGTCGACAAAGTGCAGCTTGTGGTTGACGGTGAGGTGCGTGAAGCGAGCGTCATCTGCAAGCTTCCGATAGCCAGCCCAACAATCAGTGATTATTCTTGTTCCAGGGCGGACCCACTTGGCTATTAGCCCTAGCAGGGTTTTAGCGTCACGGGTCTCCACGGCAACAAGAAAGCAGCACCCGCTGCAACGCGCCACACCGCCGAAAACCCACTGGCCCATTAACCCATTAAATACTCGCGATGGTACTTGTGCCGACCGAACATACTCTCGTCTAGTTCTACAGTCACGCCTTCGCCACCAATCATGTCTGAATGCTTAAACAGGGCATTTACCACAATCTCCCGACAAAGGCTCGCCCAATCAGTTATTGTCTTACTTGCGATATCAGCTTCCCGCTGAATGACGGCGCACGGTAGGTTCTGGCATCCGGAGGATGATTTTCACGACTTGGAGAAGCGTCAGGTGCGATCCATCGAAAAAGGAACCGCTCGGTACAGACACCTCGCCCCGGCACTGAACTTTGACCGACTTCCTCTTGGGCACCTCACAAGTCATCCACGTACCGGACCCCCCCCCCCCCCCCCCCCCCCCCCCCAGGTAGCCATCCGCAGATCTAGCGCGGACTTGCAGCTTGTCATCGAAGCTTCGCACTCTAGACACGCACGAAACCCCAGGAGCCAGGAGCAGGCCAACGCGCTAAACCAAATTAATTGCTCCAAGAGGGTCTTTCATGGCGCCATGAAGACGGCACAAGTTGAACGCCATGGCACTTCTTTGCTCGCCTCTGGAAGAATAAAGCACCGAGGGGGAACTGCGCGCTTCTTTGCATTTATTATTTTTATTTCATCCGCCATTTTATACCTCGTGACACAGTTCTAACAAACTCATTGGTTGAACGGTCGGACCACACCATCGCGTGCCAAAACAAACGCCAAACCAGAGTCCTGCCAAACGTATGTCCACAGACAGCATCGTCACAGAGAAGGGAGCAGTCGAACCGAACAACAAAATGAAGTAACAAAGTTAAAAAGAAAAAAAATCAAGAAAGGAGCCGTTGGAGTTTCGGACGGCGTCTTTGATGGGAGGAGCTGCTTTTCAATGGGCGCAAGGCGAACAAAAAGAGTTCGAAATAAGCGCTTAACGCAGAATGCTGCATTTCTCTAGCGCCTCATAATTTGACGAGCCTTGCACAAAAGGCGTGTTTTTAGACCGGCATTTGAAGATAGTTTTTGTTGATGTTTTTTTAGATTTACATGGGTCCAATGTATCAATGTGCCGCAAACCCTGCATTCCTGGGTTCTAGAGCAAACGTTATTCGCGAGCTTTCGATTTAGAACCATAAAAACGACGAAGAGCGGTCGCGTGGGGCAAGCAAGAGGATCGGGCGTGAGCGCGGGACTGAACGAGCCTGGAACGGTACTGTACAGCTGCAGTGGGGTAAGCAGCCCAACTTCGCCTTACACGAACGTTGGCTTACAACATCGGTAACACCAGGACTCGGGCCCTCCCCATCCGGACAAGCAGTGAGCAAATTCTACAACCTTTGTGTCTTGGCGTGGTTTCGGAACTCAGAACGCGAGCACGAACGTCACGAAGCAGGCCGCCGCCTGGAAAGCGGAAACGGTCCTCGAGCCTCCAAGATTCGCGGAGACCCACAAGCATTCCCGACTTGGAGTCATACTTTAGGGAACGGTTCATGGACGTAAATTCTCCCTGCACAAATGCTCATAGTTTTACATCTGCGTCGATCGTGGGATATCGGCAAGAGCGCTGCTGGATCGCTAAGAACCTTGGCGTGTGGAACAGTCTCCTGCACCCTGTCGGCATCGAACTTCTAGAAAGTGCTTCCGACAAGCTGACGCTTCGAACGTTCGTCAACTGCAACCCAAGTGCGTCGGAGTATCGTGTCGTGTCCGTTTTACTGATGAAGCGGCTGCTGAACAATCACCGCTGTGTTCAGCAAGTCGAGCTCAGCTACACGGGCGAAGTGTTCGACGACAAGAGCCAACTTCTACGTCAGGTCCACCCCACCGCTGGCATCTCGCAAATCGCCCTTGACGGACATCGAATGAATAAGCCCCAACTCTGTCAGCTTGTTCGCGTCATGCTCCGAAGAGATCCCATCCGAATAAAACTCCGCCACGTTTGTTTCGGTGCCACCGA